GTTCCCACCGCCAAAGGATCCGCCGCCGTCCCCTCCGTCAAAGACATGCTCGAACTCACCTCCCCCGCCGCCTCCCGCCAATTTCCGCCTGACGCGTCTTGCTTTCCGGGCGAGCCTCCGAGGCGCCGCTTTGATCCGGTTCGATCTCACTGGAGGCGGAGCCACGACGTCCGTAGGGCACACCGCCGCCGAAATTTGAACGAAGATGGAAGTGGAGGACAGCGGCGACTGTTGATCGTCGGAGAGCGAAATGAGATGGTTTGAGGTGAAACTATGGTGGCGATTCAAAAGGGATTTCGAAAATACTACGCTGTGTGTCGAAGAAACCGTCGTCATCGTATCGGAAAACAAAGAAATTTCCATTGGATTCTCGATTCAGATCAGAAATAGACCGATTTAGGGTTTCGAGAGAGTGGAATTTGGGGATTTCTCGTGGATTTTTCTTTTCTTTGGACGAAGAATTCGAATATATATCTAACTTTTTTTTAATGCAAGTCAAACTCGATAAGAATTATGCAGGGTAATAAAAAAAGAAGAAACGGTACTCCCTGCTCTCCTAAAGTAATTTTTAGGTTGAGCTTAATTTTAATTTAATTTATTTTAAAATTTATTTTAAAAACTAAAATAAAATATATGGAGTTCATATTTAAAAACTACTAGCTCGGTTCTGGAATATTTGTCTAATTTTGACTTTTTTCAGTCAATTATTTTCAGCCTTTGACATATAATTGAATAAAATATATATTGTACATTAATTCGATAAAATAATATTTTGAAAGTATTTTATATAATAAATTTAAGAAAACTATTTTTATATCAATATCTACTATCATTTTTAGTTAATTTAGAGTCAGAGTTTACTAATTTTGACAAAAAAAATCAAAATTGGCCAAACACTCTAAGTCGGAGAGAGTATATTTAAAAATTTATAACATTGTTTTACTAATAAAAAATGACACTTCAAATTATTAGGAGAAATTTACCTAAATAAGACTAAAACATAATGACTTTCCCAATATATGACCATACGTTTTTATTTCCCAATGTAGGACTTTTGGTCATTAACAAGTAGTCATTATTCAAGTAAATGTCCATCATTACTGGACATTATTCTTCTCACTAGATCATTATTAAGTCTTATTTAGGGAATAAAAAAGTTTAAGTCATTCATTAGGAAAGTCATTATGTTTTAATTCTATTTAGTGCAAATTTTACTACAGAGGAAACACTAGTATGATCTTGCTTCATTGAGACACATGGCCAAAAATACAAATATGAACACAAGCAAATTAGTTTTTTTGTGTATATCTAGTGTCAAATTCTAAAAATCTAAACCTAAACTTTTTTGTAGTTAAAGTGTTGGGTCACCTTTAATCACCTACTATTTATCCTTGTTTCAAACCTTATATAGACTAAGATCAATCTTTGTTGAAGCACACTGAAGTGCAAGGGCTTCTGGTCTATCACTTAAGAAACACTAAGAAGATCTTGCTTTCTTGAAACATGTAGCCAGACGTGACTTCTCCGAATTTTGCATATAAAATCTTATTTTTTTGAAATTGAGCAGCGGTGAGTTTCGAACTCATAACAAAACTCCGGTATCATGTCAAGAAACCACTCAACCAAAAGTTCGGTTGTGGCCTTAGAAAGATTTTACTCTAACAACTTCCTCTCGTCTTTTGTCCTGAATTTTTTGTCGGACTACTACATCACCGTGTACTTCTCCTTCCAATACAACACTTCTCTGTGCCCTGCTCTCACACTTCAGATGCTATCTAATGCTAAGTTAACGAGAGTCCAACGCATTTGATTACTACCTAACGCTAACGCATCGGGGATCCATAAACATTCAAATGCTAAGGCCGGTGGCAGTTAACACAATGTTCAAATACTAAAATACATTAATATTTCATAATAAAATTATTCAGAAGATCTGCCCGTCAGAGGCTACCACCCGTGGGAGGTTGGGAGCTACCGTCCCCGAACCTTGCTAAAGAATTTATAATATCGTCAAATGAGTATGTACTCCACACCTCCAGACTCTGTCAACGTCAATACATAAAGTTAATTATCTTAAATAACCGATGATACGAAACCACCAAGAAGAGACGTAAATATTCCTTCCTTTCTCCTAGACATGCCGCCCCTTGCGTGCCCCTCTAAGATGAGATATGAGTGTGTACCCTCCCTCACATCTTCAACAATGAATTGAAAGCTCTTTTCATTTCTTCTCCTAAATTTAAAGCAGATTCTTTCTTCCCCCCCACTACTTTCACCTCCCCTTACTTTAAAAAAAAATCTTCTTCATCAAAGAGATGCCATATTACTAAATTATTCCCACCCAACAAGGCCTATACAAACACGCCATACCCTTCTTCCTCTCTTTGTCTATTATTGTATTCATCTCTCTATGAACTCCACTTCATAATTTATTTCCTCCTCCCTTAATTGTTTCTTGAGAAATCTATGCCTCCAGAATCACAGGTATATCATCATCATCATCATCATATGTTTCTTGAGAAATCTATATATATGTGATATATATATATATATATATATATATATATATAATTGTAATTAATGTGACACAAATTTTGTGTGGATGCAGAGAATGCAGGGGAATCGGGTCACAGAGGTACAGGTCCGGATGGACTGTAATGGATGCGTTCAGAAAATCAAGAAGGCCTTGCATGGAGTTCATGGTCAGTTCTTAATTAGTGTGGATTTATATCTTTTGAGCTCTTTTGAATTAAGTTAAGCCAACAGCCATTCTTAACAAAAATTCATATTAAACTTTCCATTTTTTTCCTTATATAAATATGGTACTGTATATATTATGGTGATTAAAACCTTAAAAAAACCAGAAAAATGAATAAATTGGTAATAAATCATCCCTTTTAAAACCCCTAAGCAATACAGCTTTTCGGTTTTGGGTAAGTTGTGGCATCGCCTGTGCATGGTAGGGATAAGATCTGCGTACACGCTTTCTTAAGATCCAACTTGTTTATGATATTTTAGTATGTTTATCCTCGAGGTTTGGGTAAGTTGTTCAACTTTTTATGATATTTTACTGTGTTTATTGTTGTGGTTTGGGTAAGTTTTTAAACATTTTTACTATTTTTGCAGGAATCTCTGAGCTCTACATTGATGTTCCTGGACAAAAACTTACCTTAATTGGAAATGCAGACCCTGGATTGATAGTGAAGGCAATTAAGAAGATAAGAAAAAGTGCAATTATATGTTCCCATACAGAGCTACCAGACGAGGAACCATCTAAGCCACCGGAGGAGCAACCCCCTGAGGAGGAGGGCGGTGGTGGAGCACCACCGTCCACCGCCGAGCCTATTAAGCCTCCTTCAGAAGAGCCACACAAAGATACGCCACCGCCGCCGCCACACGAGATTAATCAACCACCAGAGGAAATCCCATCACCAGAAGCTGCCCCAAAGATGACCAGAATACCTTCAAATGATATGAAAGATGTTCATCAAAGAGTCCACCGTTATCCATCGGCCTATTACCGTTATGGTTATGGTGATGGACCGCCTCAATGGAGCCATTATCAACCCTCCGGCAGTATGGGGTTCCGACGCCAACCGCCTCCCACCGATCTAGGGTTCCAATTTGAGCCGCCACCGCCTCCGCAGAATAACGGTTCAAGGCTCGTATACGAACCGCCGCCACGGCCAAACAGTTCAAGGTTTAGATATGAGTCTCCATCTCCGCCTCGGGATAGTTCAAGAACCCGCCAAGAAGCACCACCACCACCGTTGCCACCCCGCAACCCAACATTCAAACATGACCATGGACGCGAACCGCCCTACGATTCAGACTTGAAATGTGATTCGAATTTGACCCGAAGTTGTTCTTGGATCAAACAAGAACCTCCTCCGCCCCTGGGTAGTAGTTCAAGACTCGAGAGGCAAGAGCCAATGCCACGTGGTGGCCGCGGTGCGTTAGGTTGAAGGTTTGTACTAGTGCCTGTTCTCGGCGGGGTGTTAGGTCTAAGATTTATACTAGGTGTGAACTGGGTTTTGGCAAGGGCTAAATCCGTTCTTGGTGGGGGTGGGGGTTTATCATCGAGTTCTGAGCTCGCTGTTCTCGGTAGTGGTGGGATGTTAGGTTTTCTTGGGTTTGTAGATCAACCTATACCCGTGTTGTACCAAGATGGTTTGGATTTCAGACATAGACAAGAACCACCATCACCACCATCTTACACTTTGGAGTTCAACCCACCTCCGCACCAAAGCCTTTCGGGGTTCATGCAACCTGTATATGTCTCGCATAGCTACAATGCGTACAAGCCATCGCCATACGTCACGGGATATGAGTTTGCCCCACCGCCACCTCCAAGGGCTATGTATCACCGTAGGGCTGATCCTTACGCAGAGGGCATGTACCGTACACCGAGGCCATATGCAGGTTATGATTACTCCGAGGACAGTCACAATGGGAATAATAGCAATGCGAACATCTCCTCAATGTTCAGCGAAGAAAATCCAAATGCATGCGCAATATCATAAGGATTGACAACACAATTTGCTCAAATTTCAAAGAATCTTGTGAAGTTTGTGAAAGAGGTGATCAGGATTGGGATTACCAGGCATAGGGAACTTATTCTTCACTCCACTTTGCCTTTACAGAAATGGATGCCCACCAGACCATTCATTTCTTGTGTGACACTTTATTCTTGGATTAGATTCTGCAGCTGAAATCTTCTGGCACAAGGCCACCTTTTGCCAATAATAAAACTAATAGAGAACATATGTACCATTGAGCTTTTATAAAGACTATTTATACATTTATTCTGCTAAGTGTTATGGGAAAGAAAGCTGGAATCCTCATTTGTATGCATCAAAAGAAAGTCCAATGATTATATTGTATTAAGGCAAGACCAAACACAATATTCTAGTAATAAGATGTGTTCCTACTAACTGCTTGTGATCATTGTACTAAACAGTTAAATATTTCTAAATCATGAGATACAGAACAGTAATAAATAAGAAAAAATTGAAATACCAGACAAAATTGCACAACAATATGGAGACAGTTCACAAACTTGCTCATTCATCATCACTGCTGCTTGTCTGTGATCCATCATCTAAGCCATAAAGAACTTCATCAACATCTTCATCCTCCTCACTTTCATCCACTTGCTCATCATGGGGTAGCACTTGGTTTTTATTGTAAGCAGCCTTCTCAAACTGTAGCAGATCTCAAACAGAAACCGAAATAACATCAATATATAAACATTGAAAGAAATCGATTTCTTTTGATTTCGAAATATTTTAGCAACCTGTGCAGTAACAAGTTGCAAACGACCACACAACTGCAATAGAGAGTTAAGAGCTTCTCTTTTAGACTTGGTAACCTTGTAAAGAAAAGTAGATGAATGAGGCTAGTCAGACTTGGACACAAACCATTCTTGACATTCAATCATTAAAGAGGCAAATATCAAATTACCTTATTTAGAGAATCTAGTAAATGGGTATATCTTTCCTGAGACGTAAGATAATAACGGTGGTTTACCACTATACAACATATCCAAGGAAGAATGTATTTCGCCTTGTACAGTCTGTCAAGATGTAAATTATTGGTTTTAACAAAGATGAATGATAACTAAATTGGCGCAAGGACTTTAAATATAAGATTAAAGGGAGCAGACCTGGAATGCCATGCAGCAATCAGCATTTTTAACAAATTACATGCAGCTTTGGGTTCCATAGATAAAACAATTTTCCTCACCTGTAAAAAAGAAAGAGGACGAAAACATAAATAGTTATACTCACTCTGTCCTACAATAAAGTTCCCACTCTCCTTTTAAGGATGTCACAAAAGTAAGTTCTTGCTTCCATAAAAGTAAACTTCTAAGAGGATAAACTTTAATACCTCAAAGTTGGATATACCAATTGGCTAGCCTAAAAATGAGTGCAACTCAAAGTGGCAACTCAATTACGGGACAAGGGAGCATTATATGGTAAAAAACTAATATCTGTAACTTGTGATCCATAAACACAAACCTCCTTTTGCGGGACACTTGCTTCAAGATTGATACCCTTAATGTTTTCAGTTTCAAGAGTTAGTTTAGAACCGGAATCATTCTCACGAACAATCCCCATGGATATTAGTTGCTCTTCCATGAATAGTGTGACTGTATCAGCATCATCTTGGTCCATGTCATCTGAGTGCATGTAACATAGCAGTAAGCAAACTATTCTAGACTGGTTTTGTACAGTTACATTTAAATAACTGAATTTGGCAACCAGTGTTCTTGGGGTGCTTTTTTGTTAAGAGGGGTTTTTATTTTGCTAAATGTGTTACTTGATTTTGGTCAAACAAGAAAAAAAATTGCTAGGAAAAGAGCTTCTTGGTCCCAAAATGCTGGTTTAAAAAATTTGTTTTTAAGCTTTGTGATTCCACAGCTGTTTACATGAAAACACAAATGTATCATCTTACCGAACACATTTGTCAGAGACAATCGACACAAAAAACTAGCTGGTTGCCAGTGCCACGGTGTCAGGCATGGCCTTTATCCATCAAAAATCACTTGATAGTGAACAAGTTTTATGTGTGGAAGTATTCGATGCATTGAGATGGCATAATACAAGACTAGCATTCATAGAGATGAAATAATCAGAATTTTTGAAAAAAAGAACATATATTTGAAGAGACTACAGTAGAAATATTTGTAGCTTTGCAGTATACTAATTGGGGTACCATAATCAGTAGTAGTTCCAGAAGGATTAAGATACTAGAGAATGGAAAGGATTCAATTTTCAGATTAGCATACCATTGCTAACCACTAGTTTAGCTCCGCTCTTCATGCCAATCAAGTCGTGAATCTGAGGCATGGGAAGTAGTGCATTCTCAGCATTTGCACGATCTAAGGCAGTAACTGTTTACAAACACACAAAAACTATTAGAAATTGAATCAAACTAATTTAAAAAGGCTGCATCTAAATAAGGTACAAACAAAGAAGGCAAGCATATGCAAACTGCCAAAAAATGAGCATATAATAAGAAAGAGAAATCAAATAAGACATAGTGTTAACTAAAATGTAGACATTTAAAGAGTGACTTCATCCTATCTCATTAGGGCTATGCTTGAAACTCAAATGCTAAGGAAAGAATAAAATGTCAAGGACCTTACCTCTACAGTCTACCTGTGAGGGGTGGAGAGGTTGTTTATGATAGACCCTTGGTTCAAAAGGTTTACCAACCCTGCCCAACTCACATCTTTGTTGAATTTTTTTGTAATTCCTTACCTAGTTACCTAAGGATCCAGAAAATAATAGATCCACACCCACATCCTCTAAAACTTTATAAAACACCAACATTGCAAATTCTTCTTACCCTTTTTTATATCCTCACCCACTCAGAAAAGATATTTAAAAAATTCAGGTATAAACTCACAGCAATTGGCAACTGGCAAGAAAACAAGCAAATTAAAAAACAAGCAACATAATGAGAATAAAACATCCATGAAATGCAACAACATCATACAACCAAACAGAACTTAATAGAGCATAGTTGAAAATTGAGAATATCAAATGCAGTTACCTTGATTTTGTAATTGGGAGACTGTTCTATGTTTGCGAGATTGACTGATGGGGAGAAGAAGTCCATCAAGTGAACTGTTTAACTTTATGTCTGTCCCGGACTGCACCACAACTTTCTCAAAAGACGGCTTAACGGGCAAACCATGGGCCAGAAACACACGTCCAGAAGCAGGTTTAACAATATGTTCCAATTTTGCGGCAAAAACACCATGTACGGAACCCTTTATCTTCTCATCTGAATATACTTTGGTGGGCTTGCAAGATCGCAACTCGTCAATGCTCTTTCCATACCAGAAATAACTTACGCCTGTCTCAGATATTGCCAAAACACAAAGACCCAATTCATCTTCTTCAGTGGAAACGACTAGACTATCCAAAAAGACAGCAGGGTGATCCATGGCAAGTGAACAGCATGCCGGTTCCTTTTTTCTGCCACCTACCTTCCACACTGCAACATATCTCTCACCAACAGCAGAAGAAAGTAGGTATTTTCCATTTTCAGAGAATGCCATACACCGAACAGGGCTCTGTTCACAATGAATATATACTAAGCTTGTTAGATGTTAAAAACGAAATGGGGAAACAAACAGGTTCTGATTTTTTTTATGACATAAATATATTAAGGGTTGATACCCAAGTTAGTCCTCTTGACTATAGGAACGTTTTCAAAAAATTAAGTTTCTACTTTAGCTTATATCTGATAAGTAGTTACTCCCTACGTCCGCCATATATCTTCTCAAATTGACTTTTTGTGGTTTTTAAGGAGAGTCAAAAAGGTTGAAAGTTTACTAAAATACCCTTAATGAAAGTGAGTGAAGTATATTAAATGAGGTGGGTGATGTGTAATAAGTATAGTGGGGGTAGTTGTGATATTTTAAATGTTAAAAAAGGTAATGGGAAGATCTTTCTCAAACAAACAAAAAGGGCATTTGGGAAGATCTATGGCGGACGAAAGGAGTATTTAGGTAAGAGTAAAAAGCGTAGTAGTTGCAAATTTAAGTATAAATTTCTGTTTAAATGCTTTTGAGTGTTAGCAAACAAAAACTGCTCAAGTGCTTAATTTAATAGTAAAAGACAGATGTACCAGGAAAGTGAATTAAAAAAAAGTTGGTAGGGACAAAAGTGTATGAGTTGTTACAAACTTTCAAATACAAACAACAACATAATAAGCAAAAAAATGAACAGGTATCAAGCTTCTTTTGGCTTATGAGTTTAAGTGGCTCCAAATAAGTATTTATTTTAGCAAAATTTTCAACTACCAGATTACCATAAGATTGCAAAAGCTACAAAAGCAATAAGCAAAAAATTGTGTTTGAACACACTCCCTATACACTTGATCAACTTGGCCCTCGCTTTTCGTGAGACTAAGGCTCTGTTCCGTTCAACTTATTTTTTCTGATCTGATCTGATTTTTTGTAGTTCTGATATGATCTGATCTGATTGGATCTGATTAGATCTGATCTGATTTGATTGAATCTAATCTGATCTGGTCTGATCTGATTGGATTTGATTGGATCTGATCTCATCTGATTGGATCTGATCTGATTAATTATGATTTGATTTAAAATTCAAATCAATAATTTGATTTGAGTTTATAATAACGTTTGAAAATTGTAATGATAATTCATATTATAATATAATAAATATTTTTTTATTTTATAATTATTTTTTAATAAAATAAAATTAGTTAATTTATATATTAGAATGATCATTTATATTTTAATGTAATAATATTTTTTATTTTATGATTATTGTTTGTGAAATAAGAATATTGATTTAATATTTTAATAATTAGTTCATACATGCATTAGAATTAATATTTAATTTATATATAATCAATATAGAGAAGAGATAGTACTTTTATTAAAATATCTCATCCTTATAAAAGATCAAAACTTTAGAAACTCAAATTACATGTAGCAATAAAAATGTATTTTAAAAGTAGAATTAGATTGACATTGTCAATATATTTTAAAAAATAATTTTTTCGACGTCTAATAATTAAGGATTAATTTCTCAGTTTTCTATTTAACTTGTTTTTAAAGTTTATTCTTTATCATTTTTAAGAATAATAATAATAATAATAATACTCCCTCCGTCCCCCAGTTTTTGTCCACTTTCATTTTTACACACCATCCAATGAACTTCTTTAATCCATTTTATCTTGTAATTTGTATATTAAAAAATTATAAAAATTATATATTAATAATCCATATGTTAAGACAAATCAAACAAAATCACACATGACTATATTTAGGCTTACACATTGAGAGAATTTGATGAGTC